CATATAAACTGTCCTTGGCAGATTCAGAGCTGCAGTCATTTGGGGCTTAAGCAGGCACAATAACCGAGGTGCAATGAACCTCATTTCCTCTAGATTCTCTCACCGATTTTGCCAAACGAACCGGACAGAGACGAGTGTCAACGGATATCCAATCAAGGAAAGACGCTTCCGCTCGTTCGCTCAATACAATACCCACCTCAGCATATCCAGGTGCAGTGGCCTCTGCGTCACCAGAGTTACGTAGCCGGAACCTGGAAGAGAGCGAGGGGGCAGTCAATTCGATGACATTATTTGCGTCCCGCGTCCTTGTTTCTGACAGACAACATACATCAATACATAGGGGATCTGGCGTACGCTTGCTTCAGTGTGCGAACATTGAAGGTGGCTAAGTAGACAGGCCTTCGAAGTCTGAAACAGACTTTGAAGTGTATATTGTTGTGACTGAACTCGGACGTGCAGAAGCTGCAGCTGAGTGTGATGCAGCGCGAGCAAAACAGCCAGTCCTAGAGCTAGGACCTGCGGAGAAATCATTCAAAGTTTGTCGGGGGAGGGTGAAAGATGGAAGACGTGAAAGTGTAAGAAGGGGGCGTCTACAAGCAGTAGTATGTTTTCGCTTACCTGCTGTATGCAGCGGCCCCACGCGACGGCCGATGTGGCATGAGAGTATTGTTAGTTGTGAATGTCATTGTTGTGCGAGGGCTGGGATACTGCCAGGATGCCCACACCTAGGCAGGAGGACGATTAGGATCCTCAAAGCCTTTGGCTCAAAAGCCAACATGCAGATGACGTCATCTTCGAAGAGGAGGAGACGGCTCAGGTGTTTCTGGCTAAACTTGCCCCGTCCTTTGGCGAGCGTTTTACACCCAGAGTGCAAGAACAAGGTTCCTAACACAGTTACTGCCTCTTACAATCCAGAGAGAAGCACTCGAACCTTTGAAGCCTTTTACCTACCTTGGAAGTTGAATTATTTCTAATTACAGTGTGACAGATGAAGTCAATGCACAAATCTGCAAGTTTTGGATGGCATATGCTATTTTGAGACACCTGTGGTGTCGAAACGGTATATCTCTGAGTTTAAGGGACGTGTGTATCAGGCTACAGTAGGGGTTGTTTTGTTGTATGGCTTACACTTGACCTGTTCGATCAGTGTCTTCAGGTGATAATCGTCTACGAACCATGATGATGTTGACGATTTTTGTAGAAGAGTAGGTAACGCAGGCAATACTAGAAAAGCCTGATTGACGTCATCTGGTCTTTCGGAACTTGCTTTGCGCCAGCGAAGTTCAAATCGTAATGCTGGACACAATCTTTGGACACGCCTTTGAGAATTCAGTGAGTGGCAGTGGCGGTTGCAGAACGTAGAAGCATCAATGTTTCTATTTAGTGTTGCCGTCAATGATGATGATGACTCTGGTGTTACCAGTTTCTTGTGCACCTATTCCCACTCATGTCTGTCTCATCTATAAGGCGTATGTTTTTGTGTCTGACGGATGCGGTTCGCACACATTGTTAGGCAGGAATCCACGCGGATCCCACTATACCGCACGTCTTTAGGTGCTGCTACGGCCGAGAAGCCTGGCCCGCTCGAGGTTGGCCCAGAATTCGGGGCGCTTGCCGGTCCGGCATCAAGACGAGATCTGATTGGTCAACAATCTGGATCGAACAGCCAATCATGATCCAGTATTGGCCGAATGCCGGTTGCCAATGCCGCATCCAGAACGCGTCAGAAATTCCAGAAAGTTATAGCCGCTTACGCTATATATACGAAGCGCTGAACAACTGTTCCTGACTTCGTTTTGGGCGTTAATAGACCTTGTGCACCTTTGGTGGTTGTTTCGACGTGAACGCTAGCTTGGGAGGCTCAGACCGAGAACTAAGCTGAGGAAAGTACCGTTACTACACACATTGAGGTGGGGTGTACTGTGAACTGCGATCCCCTCTGTTTTTTACTCCTGGTGACTTACTCCTTTTCCTCTTACGTTTCGGCGGTCCTTATGACGTTTTTCTGCTCTCCACTGTTTCTGTTTACCCTCTTATATTTTCACAGGTCCTCAGCATTGACTGCCGTAACTGTTCTGTGCAGACTTGTGAATTGCTACTTCTTATCGTGTGATCACGGTTATGCTGTAATTGAGCTGACCTGCTTTAAAGCTAAACTTATGGTTCTCCTGCCTCATCCACTACTTGTGACAGTACTCATACCGTCACGAAGACAGTCTGTGCGCTTCCGAGACTCATTGAACTAAGTTAGATGGTGCCCGCGGGACACTTGCAGACTCATGCCATGACCAGTGATTAGAACGTGAAT